GCTTGGTCAGGATTCGCGAAGTGGGCGACTATGCCGCTGTTTCAGATGAGAGAGAATTTCGCGCATGGCCAACGCTATGATGTGCTCGGAAAGTGGGGAACTTTGGCTGGAGTGGACAAAGAAACAGGTGTGAGCAGGGATGTGACTGATGAGGAGATCCTTCGCTTTGCTAAGGAGCCTGAAAACCTCAAGTCGTATGATCCCAACGGGACTTACACTTTGAAGCGCTTCCGGACGAACCAGATGCTTTCGCTATTGACACGGGGAGCCAACATGATGGGAATCGGCAGGGATAACTTCAATCCAACAACGTACTTGAAGAGTAACAAGGATGAAGACGCGAAGGCAATGCACTTTTGTTGCCTAAACGTCCTATGTGAAGTTATCCCGATGGTGACAGGACATCAACAATTTTCGGTGCTACGAAACACGCCAACTGGACCGGTGGACTTTCTGTACATCGACCCGGTCGGCATCCTCTTGACTCATGCAGATTATTCCGTCCAGACCATTGGACTGCTGGTGGACCACAACGTGCAAATGCCAGCGCACTTCTTGGACAGATTGGTCAAGTCTAGAGTTGAAAGACAGCAACATCCGAATGTTCGACGTCCTGAAGCATTACATCACATTTCGGCCGAAGAGTATCTCCCTCCGGGTGGTACTTCCATCATGGACACGCCCGTCACTACGGAGGAACGTGCAAGCGCTTCTTCGGCAAAGGGACCTTCAAAAGGGCGTGAGAGAACCGGAGATGATCAACATGGAGGTTGGAACGCCAACTCTTACCATGACTACATCGCCGGCAAAGGCCGAAACAAAGGCAAGGACAAAGGAAAGCAGAAGAGCCAGTATCCAGAGGAGAACCTCCGGCCCTGGGAACGCGATCCTACGTCAACGCGAAGATGGCGGTGAGACAACACCTGATCTACCTCATCTTCCAGATTGTGACCTCTGCGCTTCGCACGTGGAATCCCATCGCGAATGCTTCTTTCTTCGGTGACGCCTGATTCGTTTGCCATTTCAGGGGATCGTTACCGACGTAGATGAGTGTCACAACGTTTCTAATTGGGATGCAAAAGCTCTGATCCATATGTCAAAGTTGCGGCGGAACAATTTTCTGATATTCCTATCGTGCCATCTTCCGGGTGAGCAGCGTCGGAGACGCAACTCATGGGGGGTGCGAACAGACTGCGATACCTTGTCAAGTTCTAAGGTGTTACTATAAGAGCTGTGAGCAAGACCGTGTAAAGTGCAAGGGAAGGGGGCACGCTACGCGTCCCTCATCTCTAGGAGTAGGCTTGTGGTAGTGCTACGCACACCGCAATGCCTATCCATCCTTTCAGTATGACCGCCCATGCAACATATGGCTCAAGAATGAGCACAAGCTCTAGAAAGCATTGCCCATAGCTAAAGTGCTGTTGTCTTCTGTGATTCTCCGAGTGAACAGAGCTATCCCGTGCACAGACGATCCACCGCCGGCCGTGAGTGTGCAAAACGAGCGAACGTTGGATCTGCCTGCATAGGAGTGCGTGTGTGGAAGTGGAAGTAACAGTGATCCAGTCTGTAGAGGGCAACCACGCCAACAGTCAATATAGCTCTTTGTGGGGTGAGCGACAGAGAACATCACCAAGATCAAATCCCCACGCACTTGAGGACTTTAACTCTTAAACCCTAATCTCAATATCTAAGATCTTCAATTATAGACGAGTTGTGCAGAGTCAGGCTCCATTCTAATTTTTTGGTGACTGGTGTGGCTTACAAGACTTCTGCAGTGATGTTGGGCCGTTTGAATTTTTGCACAAGGATGCGACTCGAGTGCTTCGATTGCGCACCCGAGCCAAGTGCCTTTTCGCGCTGATTGATTTCGGGTCAGCTTCGTCTCAAAGGAGGGCCGCGTCTACCACGGCGAACTTTTGAAAATGGTTGCCATGTCAAACACTTTGATTTACACAGCCGCAAGATTCACCCGTTTTGTGAGCTGGAGAAGGAGATGCTGAGAATTGGGCTTCAGTATTATGGAAGCCTAGATTGGGTTCCAACTTACAACTATCCTTTGCAGGCCCAAGACCTTCTAATTATTACGACCCCTGCATTAGATGGTTGGGACCAGCCGTTCAGAATCCCAAAGACCCCCTCAGCCGAAATCAACATCATGCAGACCCAGCGGTCGCTGAGGTCATCAACTCCTTCAAGAAGGCACGGGCCAGGGTGTCAGGGATGCAATAAAATCCAATGTCTCGGAGTTACTTCAACCTGTGGTAGCCTTAACCTGAGGCATGCACCGATGAGCTCTACCGTTCATGTTCGCTGCGTGCTTTCTTCGCTGCTCTCCGCAGGCAGCCGAGGACTACCACCAGCGATTGACAAACCTGGGACTGTGGACGTCCATTGCGCCGGTCGATCGCGATTAGAGGGCAGTCGCAGCCGCCCGCAATTCGCTAGCGAGCAATATGGGGATTTCCGAACATAGGGTGTACCTTTCTTTCTTTAGGGTCCGTATAACAAGGATCCTACTGTTTAGTTCGGAAACTCCCATATTGCAACCAAGTTGCAAGGCTGCTGTTCGCCAGACATCTCTGGAAGTGACCCGGAGAGGAACAAACTCAGCGAAGCCTCCGTTGAAAACGCTGCTTGCATTCGGAATATCGAACTTACGTTATTAGCGGGATGTCAGTCGAACCGAAGTCTTTGTTGTCATGGAATTGGGTGGTATCCCAGGCTTGGAGACAGGAGATTGGATGTTCATTTGTTCACTTTCATTGAAAGCTTTCTCCCTCATAATCGGGTGAGCATCATGCTAGACCTTTTATGGCCCTTATCTAAACCCTACAAACTGTCTTTAAAGATTCCTCATGATTGCATTGCAATTTGCTGAGCCTTGCAGCAGGGCGGTGAGCCAGCCGCCTATGACGGAGTGCTAACATCCCATTTTGGGGCGGTCCAATGTGGTGTGCTCGGGAAGACTTCTGCAGAATCTATTGGAGCGAGTTGTATACGAAGTGTATAGGGAATTTATGGAGACACTACTCCAATAATGGAGAATCAAATGGAAAATGGAAGAACTTGGAGTGTTAACTAGTATATACAAAGTCGGGCCTGACATGAGCTTTGTGGTTATTACACCAACGATGTTCAGATTGTATGGGATTACAAACGGACGGATGGAGGATCATATGAGCATATTTCCCAATAATGGATAATCGCTTGCCTAAGAACATGGAGAATAACATGGAAACTATTATCGCTGGTCTGATTATCAATAGGGCTCCTATTATAATTTTGACCATCATTATCAGTAGTCTAGCTCTAGATGATTACTATGCAACAATGGGCTTCAGAGGGTTATATGGGTAGTATAGAGACGGTATAGGGAGTATGTAGGTACACTTCCCAATACGATAATTTTCCACTTGTCCGTATTATGCTCATTTTTACGAGTATCCGTTACGTAGCCACTAAACTTACTGGGGGTGAGCAGTGAAAAAGGTAATAGGATCCTCTCCCAGATAGTAAACGACAATTAGTATTCTTTCTGCTAGCAGGGTCCAGAAGATGCGAACATATCATGCGGGAGTTTCTCCAAACCCTAAAACACATCTCAGGACCTCGGAATGTCTGGGGAGTATGCGGTGGGGCCTTAATCTGGCATCATATGAGGTATAATGTAAACTCCCTACAGGGGACTATGCAGGGATTATATAGGGCGCCTATAAAAGGGTTATTGAGGGCATTTTTTCATTATAGCTCATGCCGGGATTACTTGGAGTAAAGCCCAGTCAGGTTCAGGGCCAAGAAGCTTTCAACATATCATGTTGAGAATGACACAGCATGCTAAACAGTCAACACTCAATCCGTAACCCTGCTGCATAAGAAGCATTCATAGGCTGCCTGGGACCGTTGCTCATGTGCGCAGCCGCAGTGCTTCCCGGCCACTGCAAATCAAGAACTTGTCAGGCACTTTCATGTTTGGGCTGTATGAGTTCAGTATGCGTTTGGGTGGGAGCAGCAGGGAAGGAAACCCCCAGATACCCGCGACACAGCAGCCTCTCTTAGGCATAGATTGGAAACATGTCGAAGCTGCAGGCTGTTAGCTTACTTGGGAGATCCCAGGGCTGAAAGTCTCATGGGCAGCCATGACCGCCTGGCTGCTGCTTTGGTGCTGCCCTCGCGGGTTGCGTCCTCCTCTCCCGGGTCTTGCTGTGTTGGCGTTGCTATCAGAATCTCTTGCTGCTACCACATATCTGACACCAGGCAAAGACATTGTCTGGCAAGATGAAGGTAGTGATGTTGGCTCTGCTTCCTTCAGCATCAGCACAAGCCCGGATGACGGCACACCTGGGGAATGTGCGGCATCATGCGATGCAATTCCGGGTTGCAATGGGTTCTCTAAGTGCCATAGTCCTACAACATGTTGGCTGAAGAACAAGCCCATTTGTGCACAGGATGTTGCAACTGAACCCACTCGCTCCTTCTCTGGGTGCACTTCCTTCTACACCCCAAGCACGGGGTGCTCTGGAACCACGACAACGCTGCCAATAACAAGCACGTCTGTGTCCACATCAAGAACATCATCTACAGTGTCAACAGCAACATCCACATCGTACACATCCAGCACGTCCACGTCTTCATCATCAACATCTACGTCTGCAACATCTACATCGGCAACATCTACATCGGCATCATCTACATCGACAACTTCTGCATCATCAACATCTACATCGGCGACATTTACATCGTCAACATCCACCACGACTCGAACGAGGGTCAGCAACATCACGCATGCCCTTCTTGTGCTGGAAAGCCAAGCGAGCGAGTTCCGGGAGATTCTGCTTGCACAGAATGCCACAGAGGCACAGTTCGTTCTTCCGGACGGAGCTGTGGCTCTGGCAGCGACCTGGCCTCAGGCGAATTCCGACGTGGACGTGGTTCTGACAGTTGATACTGCCTCTTTGTCCATCTCCCAGGATCTTGGTGCAGTCAGTGCCTCAGTAACCCTCATGGATACTAGCACCGATGTCTACCATCTGCTCAACAACTCGTTGGGCGGCTTTGGTTCTGTACTCGCCTCTGCACTCCTATCCATCATCCTACAAGATGAGGACGGTCACCCGGTTGAAGGAGCCCTGGCCACACCGCTGACCTTCAACCTCACAACAGTGGGGAACGCCAGCAGTGAGCCCGGTGTTACGTGCAAGTTCTGGGACGAGGAGATGGAAGTCTGGTCTACAGACGGCGTCACGATGCTCTCTGCCGCAGATGGCGTTGTCACTTGTTCAACCACGCACCTTTCTATCTTCGCCATTATCGTAGACACCATCATCTCAACTCTGGCATGTTCGAACGCTGCCGCAATTTTCTCGCTGGAAGGTTTGCAATTTCTTCAACGTGTGGCATGGGCTCTGCGCCCACCATCGGTGCTGAACTGGGTCATTCTGCTGATGGGCGCTTTCCTTCTTTGCCTGGCTGCGTGCGCCGACAGACGCACTCGACACCGCCTGAAAGTACTGAAGGCAACGCTGGACTTCTGTGACAAGTTCGAGAAGGCAAAGGCAAGCCAAGAGCAGCATGAAATGTTTGATATCTATGGCTTTAGATCTCTCTGTTCCTGTGACGTGGCTCGATCTGTTTGTTCTGCAGTGGTGCGCCGAAGAACAGGGGTGAGCCTTGATGTGCTGAACCGGATGTATGCGGATACTGGGACCACAGCCTCCCATGACTTAGCGAAGTCAGCCTTAGACAAGTTCTGGCAGATAAACTGCTGCTCCAAGCTCGTGGTCTTGTTTCGGATGAATCTGGCTTTCTTAGATTTCAGCAAAGCTTTTGGCATTCTAGGAGGCATGGGGTAATCCCGTACTGGAAGACCTCTAGTTGTCGATATGCTCAGTATGGCTTCCGCGTAGCTTGCAAGGAGTGGTCATGTCTGGTGTAGTCAAGCAGCCTGCGACACCCTACACCCTCAACCGTAAGAGGAATTGTGCATACATCAATGTCTTGGAACCACGCACGACTTCAACCTGCTTGCAGCGCACAGCGGTCCTCATTGCACGGCTCTACTCTGGATGGGCCGTGTCGGCTGTCTTCTACAGCTCGTCATCAATAGCTGCAGGCCAGCCAGAATCTTGGCCAGAAGGCGATCTGAAACCGGATAGAGCTCAACAGTACCACATCTCAGAGCCCTAAACCCTAAACGAGGAGGAGGAGGAGGTAACCCCTGAACCCCATGGAGCCCTAAACCCTAAAACCCATGGAACCCTGAACCGTCCTAAACGCACCTAAACGCGTCTAAACCCCTAAAGCCCAAACCCCAAGAGCCCTAAACTTCTAAACCCTAGACCCATGGAACCCTGAACCCCTAAACCCCTAAACCCTAAACCCATGGAGCCCTGAACCCTAAACGGCTAGGAGGAGGTGTCGGATGACTGGGGGTCCCTTTAAAGGGTTCCCTTAAGGGTTGCTATAAGGGATATTGTAAGGGTGCAATGTGGAGAAGAGTCCGAAGAGCCTTGCATGGAAGAAACGGGGATCACAAAATTTGAGTTTGTGTCTTTCGGACAACTGAGGACTGCGAACCAAAAGTTGCGCTGCTGGAGACCGTGGTCCGCTCAGTAGTGATCGCCTTCATTACAGCTGCTGTTGGCGCACTGCCTCTAGCCTTGGTGATGGCGCTGGTAACAAAGGTTGTCCTAATTCCTATGCAAATACGCCTCATGCTCTTCTGGACGCTCCTGACTGCGTACTTCCTGCTGTGCCTCATGGTAGTTTGCATTTTTATTGCCAGCGTCAGCCTTTCGGACAGCGAGAAGTGGTTCGTATCGGCTCTTACCAACGTTTTGACGGGTGCCATCTTTTCACCACTCCTGATCAGCTCGGTGATGTCTTGCTGGTTGCGGAAGCTGGAGCAGCTTATTACAAAGGTCGCAAGCCAATGGCAAAGCCAAAAGTTGCAGGAGCTTGTTCACATGGAGAGCATTTGGCTCTCAGAGGTGGCTCTGAAGACGGTTCTCAAGAGTGATCCTGTGGAAATGACCATCACGTGTCAGGTAGCAGGGCATGACGAGGTCACGGAACTCCAAGAAGATGAAGGTAGCTTCCGGTCCCCGATCCCCTACAAGCTTGAGGCGCACCAGCTTTTCGTCCTCTCTGTTTATAGGGGCGCCCGGGACACCACGCAGCGCAATCTTATAGCCTGCGCCTTTTTTCATGTTGACCAACTGCAAGATGGATATTTCCAAGGGTCCCTCCCACTTTTCCTTGACGACAACAACCTCCACGTGGCCCTGAACGCAACGGTGACTGTTGTGAGTGAGACAAAGCCCAAGAGAGACGTCGCGCGAGTTTCGGAGAGTCCGGAGAGCTATGAGGCTCCAACAGTCATCCCAGTGGCCCCAGAGCCTGGAGAATTCATGGAAATCGCACAGGTGGAAGAAAAGGAGGATGCAGAAACAAATGTGCCGGAGGAGCTTGCCGAACCGGTAGCGATGCCGTCCCTGGTGCCCTGGCAGCCAGAGGAGCCGTCGGAAGCAAACGTTCCGAGGGAGCTTCCAGAGCCATCCGTTGTTTCTATCCCGCCGGAGAAGCCAGCTGAAACAAGTGTCTCAAGGGAGCTTTCTGGACCGATGACACTGCCGGCCCGGCAAGAGGATTTGAGCAAAAAGGAGCCAACCCAAGCCTCTGGAGTCAAGGAGCCTGAGTTGCAGATGGCATCGGAGGCTCCAGAGATGCAGGTGCCGCCGCCCATGCAGGAACCTCCAGTAACTGGTTCAGTGTTGTTCCTCTATACGATTTCCTTAACATTCGGACGGAACACTTTCAGAAGGTTGAAGCTCAAGCAGGGCTGAATCACAGCTCAGGCGAGAAGAAATCCAAAGAGAGAAAGCCGCTCTCTAGAAAAACTGCGATCCCCAACAGACAGAATTTTTTTGCAAGAAGACAATAATGTACCCTTACCTACTTGGTTTTCCACTAAAGGATATATGTCTCCTAATTATCGGTCTGGTGGGTAGGAATTAGGAGATCAGTTTCGCGATCGTTGGAACAGACGTGATCTTTCTTATCCGTTGCCATTTTGGCGATAGCCGATCGGGCCATACCGAAAAAAGCGTGGGAGGAACAGGATAGATCGCTCCAGTGCAGCAATGTCGTTCCCTCCAGCAGGCTTTTCTCAGGGCCGCCCGATGGCGGCTCCGTCAGTCCTGCAGTTCGGGCTGCCTCGCCGAATTGGCTCGACGGAGAACCAAGGATCCTGGGGGTTCTACATTCCGGGCGAAGCTGAAGCTCCCGAGAACCCACCTGCCGCATCCGGCGATTGGGGCTCTGGAGGCTGGGGTCGCGACGATCGTCGAGGACGTCGTGACCGCCCAGCTCCTGTCGCTCACAACCCTTTCGCTGTTCAGCGGCCTGAGTTCGTTCGCCAGCTCGTGGTCGAGGAGGAGGACGAGACCAAGAACTCGCTCCTCGTCATCGACAATCGCGACGACCGGGTGATCTCCCCGTTCCAAAACTGGCTGGCCGAGGAGATCATCTCGAATGCCGCCAGCTCGATCAATGTGCTGACGGAGCGGGATCTGGTCATGCCCCCGAACTCGGGCTACCACTGTTCGCTGTTCGCGAACTACACGCTCGATGGCATCAAGGCAGTTCTGCTCTTCTCGATGACTTCGAGAACAGGGGGCCCATGTGCTCAGTGGGATTCCTATGCGAGTCGGGCGCTATCGCACCCGGCTTTCCAGCCCTTCACATGGCCGATGATGTTCGATACCTCGGCCACCTATGTGGATGTGAAGGTCTTCAATGGAAACGAGGTCCTTTTCCACTGGGTGTTCCGAGGTTACCGTTCGGACTCGGACCTCTCTGTCCAGCAGCAGTTCTGTGACGAGGTCCTGATCAGGACGGCCAACGAGGGATGGTTCCGCCCCTCGATCGTCATCTCGGTCTTCGTGGGATGGAAAGTCTCGGTGACTTCTTTCGAGGTTGGAGCCCGAGTCTACACGATCGGTCCGAGAGGAGCGGTGATGGCAAGTGATCATGCCATGAGCACCTGCGAGCTCCGAGTGACAGATCGCTCCTCGAGAGAAGGCTATGGCAACGATGCCGATCGTGTTGAGTTCCGGTTCCGGGACGCAAACAACAGGATCGATCTCAAGTGCGGGCAGACCTCCGTGCCAGGCACCTGGCTCACGGTGAGCCACATTTCGGGGCCCGCCTTGATCAACACGATCCAGGCCTGCCGGAGCCAACGTGCTCGCGTGGAAGGCCCGGACCACATCCAGCAGTTCGCCCAGTTGTCTGCGGTGATCGCCCCTTGGTACCACAGTGCGTTCGCCAACGAGCAGGAGCAAGTGGGAACAGCGACGGATGAGTTCCCAGTCGATCATGGGAACTTCCATGTGAGGGCTCGATCCAAGCTCAGGGTCTGCCCGCTGGAGTTCGTGCGAGAGGAGGCGCTCGCCCACCGGTCGCACGACGAGAACACTGCCGTTCGGGCCCGCAACGGCCCTCCGGCTCTCATGGATGAGGCGGCTCGGCAGGCGGTTCAGCAGCTGGGCTCCTCTGTCACCTCGGCCATCTCGAACATGCCCACCTCGGCTCAGCAGGTGTTCGACCAGAGGGTGAGCACTGTTCAGGTGCCGACGGAAGGCGAGCTGGAGGAGGCGCAGATCGCCGAGGAGGTCGTCGCCGAGAGGCATATTGCGTTTGCAAAGCCTGAGCAGCTTGCCACACCGCTGCCAGAGACATCACGGAGAGCTCTTGAGCAGCCGCATCCGCCCCGAGAGGGGCCAAGTCGTCCTGCCACAGCCTGCGGAGCGTCGCTTTCGCTGCAGTGAGATCTTGCCCCAGCATAGCGAACATCTCGACCGTGAGCAGACCCTTGTCGGCCGAAAGCCTGCATAGAGCCGGGTCCAGCCCTTGCCTCCCAAAGATCTGGCGCAGGTTCAGCTTCGGGGTCGCTGCCTCATCGGCGTACACAGTGCGATCCACCATGGCTGACTACGCGAGCGGTCTGGAAAAGGCTTCGGTCAGTGAGAGATTCAGCATCGACAGACCACCAGACCGGCGAGCAGGTATATTCACTTTTCAGTAAAGATCTTACCGGAACAAAGTGAGCACATCTGGGTGCTCGGCGGAATCTCACCGAGGTCTTCGCACTCGGTGATCGCATACCGACCACAGAGCGTTCGCTCCGTGCCCGAACCATCTATATACATGGCATGGTACTTAAGGCTCAGATCCTTAGAGGATCCAGAAGCTGATCTAGCCTTGGTGACATAGGTCAGAGAGAGATCTCCGAAGTCGACCAGGTTGGTGTCGTCAGCCTCGAACTCTGGCGGGGATTTCCCGTCAGAGGCGATCCTCTTTGTGAGCCGCTTGACCATCTCGATCGAGATTTCCTTTCGGCTCCGAGCGTACTTCAGGACCAGCTAGCTCGGATCCTTCCAGTTCGCCTGGAGCCCTATCTCCTTGTCGGGCTCCTGCGCCTGGACCGCCGCCGCGAGCAGCGTGACTCGGCACGAGTGCCAGGTGATCTCCGGCACGATCTTCAGGAGCTCTTTGAGCTGCTCGGGCGCGATATGCCCTCGCTTCAGGTCATCTGATGCTGCAGTAGTGAGCACATACCGCAGCCACAGAATGCTCCGCTGGTAACCATCGGGTCGATCGGCGAATCGCTCAGCCGATTCGAGCTCTTTCATGAAGTAGTCACGGTCAGCGGGATCGCCGAGATGTTCTGCGACCGCGCCCATGTCTCCATCCGCTCCCAGTGACGAACGCACTGTTGGATAGTACGGAAACCGCCACTTTCGAAGACGATCACCCTCAGCGCGTTCATCTCGTCCTGAGATCGAGGAGATCCAGGCTTCGGGTTGCCAGCGATCGCCGCGTGCTCGCCGCACCTCTCCACGATCGCTTTCAGCCTCATGCCCCACTTCCGCGCCTCTCCGAGCTCACGAGCTTTGAGCGAAGCCTGTTGATCCTCGGCCCGTGGCTCGATCGACCGAGGCCTCTTTGCGAGTGGCAGGGGCATAGGAGGCTCTCTGCATGTCCCCTTCGATCTCAGGGGCGATCGCCCGAAGGCGACCGGAGCTTCAGCCATGCCAAATTCCAGATCAGTGGCCAGATCAGCCCAGCCCGATGCCGCCGTGCTACGAACCAGCACAAACAACAGCTCGATCGACGGGACCCACCTGCCGAGCTCCTCCTCGTTCTTCCGTCGAGCTGGCGTGTGGAGTTCCTCAAGAGCAGGCACTAGCTCAACGAACGCTTGCACACACTCAGCGATCGTCCCGTCTGAAACAGCCGAGAGCTTCTCGAACTGAGCCATCCGAAGATCCACCAACCATTGGCAAAACTCATCCCCGAACAGGGGAAGGGGAAGGGACAAGATTTTCCGAACGGACCTATCCATGCTTGGCCTGAAAAGCTGCACAGACGATCGCACGTGCCTGCTAATGGCAACCGAGCGCCTTGCCTGAGACAGGTCATGATCACACTCACTTCCGGCAGAACATGCGCTGGGATCTAGCGCGCCGAGAGGATCGCTCGGCATGTTTGTTCCGCGGAAGAGCCCGGCTGATCAGCCGGGAAGCTTCGGTCGTGCGGCGCACCACTCACTTTCTGGAGCGTGCACAAAAACCGACCATCAGCTGCGCCACGATCGACAGCTACTCCGAAGTGTCCATCGTGTAGGGCCCCGTTGTCGATCGAGCCGGTGGGTAGGCCGGGGCGAACGCCTTCGGCATCGGGGTGGAAGCCGATGCCGTGATCTCCTGGCCCGTCTCCTCCACCCTGACCGTGCTGATCCGCTCGTACTCCGCCTGCTCGCGATCGCGGAGGACGTCCGTGAAGACCTGTGGCGTGATCGCAGCTGAAGTGCGCGAGAAGCGCATGTCAGCCCTGCCCGCATGGAGGAGGACCCGAACAAGATCCCGGAGCTCTCCCAGGAAGATCACGCGGAGTTTCGCGATCGCTTTGTGAGGGTCCACCCCGATGTCATCCTGATCGATGCCAAGGAGCCGCACAAGAAGTTCGTGGAGCGGTTGTCCCGCGATTTCCTTATCCATGGGATAGTTCCCTACTATGAGCCGGCCGAGATCAGGACCCGCTCTGACGTGATAGTGGTCAAGTCCGGACTGTCCCGGAACGCTGAGGACCTCCTGTCCATCTCCAAGGCTGATCAGCCCGAACCGGTCACGGACGTGATGACCCTGTTCAATCGCTTGCATGCGTTCTTCATGGCGCTCGAGTACCTCAACATCTGTGCGTTTTCGCGCGCTGAGGGTCCTTTGAAGCACCTGCAGGAACTGGAGCAGTTCCGTTCGGAATGCCCGGGTTTGCCCTTCCTCATGGCGGCGGATCGAGCCATAAGGAAGAAGATCTATCGTCTGCTGTCTGAGCAGAAGGCGACATACATCTCGTTCTCGCAGGCGCTCGTTGAGGTGCTCACCAACCACAAATACCTGTGGAACGATGCTCGCACTTCGGCCACGCTCTCGAAGATGGAGCAGAATCGCTTGCAGCTCGCCAACAATCCGGATCAGGTCAAAGAAGACGAGGCTCCTCCGCCTCCTCCCCACAATCCGTTCAAGAGGATCCGAAGGGGGAAGAAGAAGAAGAAGAAGCGGCTGCAAACTCCTTCCAAGGACGATCCGCCTAAGAAGATCGTCAAGGAGGATCCCAATAAGAAGCTCAAGCGCGACAACCGGATCCCGGAGAAGGAATGGAAGCTCATCGCCGATGCGGCCAAGAAAGTCCAGGGCGCTCGCCGGTGCCACTACTTTAACTCCTCGCTCGGGTGCGTCTCCGGGGATAGCTGCCGCTTCAAGCACTTATGCATGGTCTGTGG